TTGATGAACAAGTTGAACAAGACTGGGCTGAGTACTGAGCCCTGGAGAACTCCACTAGCTACCAGCCTTCAACTGGACTCTGCCCCACTGATCAGAACCCTCTGAGCCCTGCCATTCAGCCAGTTCTCAATCCACCTCACTGTCCACTCATCCAATCCATACTTCTTGAGCTTCCCTATGAGGATGTTACGGGAGACAGTGTCAAAAGCCTTGCTGAAGTCAAGGTAGACAACATCCACCACTCTCTCCTCGTCTACCCAGCCGGTCATGCCATCGTAGAAGGCTATCAGATTGGTCAGGCATGATTTCCCCTTGGTGAATCCATGCTGGGTACTCCTGATGATCTTCTTTTCATCTACTTGCTTGGAGAGGACACCCAAAATGAGTTGTTCCATCACCTTTCCAGGGACGGAGGTGAGACTAACCGGCCTGTAGTTCCCTGGGTCCTCCTTCTTGTCCTTTTTGAAGACTGGAGTGACATTGGCTATCTTCCAGTTATCAGGCACCTCCTGTCCTCCACGACCTTTCATAGATGATGGAAAGTGGCTCAGCAATGTCATCTGCCAGTTCCTTCAGCACTCGCGGGTGCATTCCATCGGGGCCCATGGACTTGTGGGTGTCCAGCTTCCTTAAAAGATCCCTAACCTGATCCACATTGACCAAGGGAAGGTCATCCTTTCTCCAAGCAAAGCAAACCCCAGTCTCGTACTAGTGTGCATATTTGTATATCGTTTCATCCATGTATTGCAATAAGGTTGAGGGTTCCCTTGCTGCTGGAATATTTGAGGTTTTTAACTTGGATTTTAATTCCGATAGCGATGTAGAAACTCTCACCTGGAAGACGTTGAAAACTGCTGAAGTCACTTGTGACAACTTCACAATTGTAATAGAGGATGGGGGTTTTTTTGCAGGTATTCGGAACGAAGCCTGACAAAATGCATTGGGATCACGATCGAGACCAGACCAGATTACTGTCTGAAGCGGCATTTAAGTGACATGTTATCCTACGGCTGTACGAGGCTGGAGATCGGGGTGCAGAGCGTGTACGAGGACGTGGCCAGGGACACCAACAGGTGAGAAGAAAGTTTTGGGGTGAAGCTGAGTGTGGCTGTGTGCATTCTGGAATGCTCTCGAGGAACGTGTCTCGACCTGTTTGCTTTAACACCCTTTTAACATTAAATGTTGAAACATTTAGCTCATTTCCTTGCTTGTGTGGTCGTAGGTCTGTTAAGAAAAATTAATAAACTGCAGTGGCTTCATGGATTTCTTTGTGATATTGTGTAGACCATGGCTGGAGAGAATGGGGTTATTTACATGTTTTATTTAAAAATCATATTCTTTTCCTGTATTGTACATCTCTCTTTCTTCCTTTTTTGTTTTTTATTGCTTCATAAATAAATGCAGCAGGTAATGATCCTAAACTAAACCAGGGTAGGTTTAGACTAGATATAAGGAAGAAGTTCTTTACAATGAGGGTGGTGAAACACTGGAACAGGTTGCCCAGAGAGGTAGTGGAGGCCCCATCCCTGGAAACATTCAAGGCCAGGTTGGACGGGGCTCTGAGCAACCTGATCTAGTTAGCGGTGTCCCTGCTCCTGCAGGGGGGTTGGACTAGATGACCTCTAGGGGTCCCTTCCAACCCAAAACATTCTATGATTCTATGATTCTATGAATCTATGAATCTATGAAAGTAGAACGTGTGCCCAGAGAGCGCTCATAGTTCTTGTCCTACATAAGTCACAGTCTATAGGCTTGAGTAGATACAATGCAGTGTAATCTACTGGAGGTGCTTTACCAGCAACCAGCACGTGCTCTACAGCAGATACCTTTTTCTGCTGAGTATTGAAGAGAGATGACACTGGCAAGTGTGGAGGGTGATGCAGAGCCAGGAACACCACCTGTTGATAGATTACCCATGGTCATTCTAGGCATACAGTATCTCTAGGGATTTGCAAAATATATTCACAAGAGGCCTGTGATTTATTCCTTGTCATACTGGACCTGTGGCTGAAGGAACAGTTGGCCTATGTAGGAGAGTGTGCAATACATTGTTCATCTCATCCTTTACAGGCAAGTAAGCCAATTTCTTTTTTTTTTTTTTTATTGCAAGTCTGACAACTCTGTTCAGATTTTGAAAGTGATTTTTTGTTTTTTCACTTCTGACACTTGTACAACTTGCCTTCATTCGTATTGCATATTCCAGTCACCTACCGAAGATGTTTAATAACTATAATCATAGGTAATGACAGAGAGATTATGGTTCAATAAGCAAAGCACATTTTTGTTAATACCTACCTTAAAGGCAGTAGTGCAAAACTGAAAATGTTGGACATTTTCTTTTAGACACTTAAAGAAAGAATCCAAAATTAGTTTCCTCCTGCAGGTTTAGCTGTAGTATTGCTGGTGCATGCAAGTGCGGGATGTCGCTGCTATGAAATGGTCAGGCTCCAAGTCTCAGTAGAGAGGAAAAGCCATGTATTGGGTAGTCCAGGAGTTAAGAGCTAATATTTATAAGTGGTACTTTCCTCCTCTAGATGTCAGAGCTTTCCAAAGGAAAAAAACCATACTAAGGAACGTAGCTAAATCTCCCTCTTAGACCATTCATATTCATTAACGGTTAATTCTGACACACACTGTAAATTTAACAATTAATTCCTCCTCTGCTTTTAAATTCTTTTTTTCACCTCAGGTCTTTCAAAGGTGTCCCATCCCGAGGTGGAACTGTAAACCCCCACTTAGCTATCCCTTCAGTCATCTTCCATTTTCCTCCAGTTTGGTCTGTCACATCAGAACTGGTACCATAAATCATTCAAAGCTATATGGCACTTTTGGCTTGTACGTTTGCTAATGAACCCTTGCTTTCCTGCTGTTGAATCGGAAGAATGAAGTAGTATATTACTGACTTGATTTCCCTCAGAAGTAATCCTGTATGGAATTATATTCTTAAAGGTTTTTGGCACTTTTCAGAGGTGCTTGCGGAACTGCTAAAAGGCTTAGCTGCAGGCTGTCTCAGAGCAGGGAGAACGCAGACTCTTCTCTCTATAGCTCCCTCCGACTTCTTCGAACAATGGTTTGGAATATACTTGTAGAGAAGGAAGGGTGATTCAAGTTTCTCTTTCTTTTGAAATGACCTCATTTTGCTTCTGTTCTTCTACTTTGTGGGGGATGTGTTTTGGCTTTAAACTTTTAATATTTTGCTTGTAGCAAAATGTCAGATTACAACCAATTAGGCTAACTGTTTGGAAATTACTTTCTATTATGTTCCATAAGTCATTAGTGAGGTTTTTGAATGCTTCTGGTGGCTGTGAGGCAGAAAAATATTCAAGAACAGATCTAAGCATCAAATAATCAAGTTATTGATGCAGCTTAAATTCCACTTCTAATAAGAAAATAATTTTTATTTATGAAGCAAGTCTCCATTTACTCCCCTCAGGCTACTCAAGGTCTTGAGTAATACTGTCCTTGAACAGGCTCAGAAAAACACCGTAATACTTCTGAAAAAATCATAAATAAAACTCCAGTCATAGAACTACATGTAGGGGTTTAACGGAGGCAGAATCTTCCAGTAGAGAGGAAAGAAGAGGTCCTTCCAACCAGGGAAGTAGCTGTTTGGTTTGGTTAACGTCAGGTCTCGGCAGAAGGCATGCATTTGTAGATGTGCCCAGATGGTGTTAATTTTTCATCCAAAGGACTGTTGAGGAGCAGAAGAGTCACCTGCTGAGCTAATCTGTTGGCAAAGAATCCCAAAAGACAGGGTGAACTGGTGTGAAAGTGTGATGGGAAGAAAACTGGGATTGGAGAGGGAAGAAGGTAGCAGATGCTGAGAGGATAGAAGTCAGCCAGTAGTGGAAGAGCCCTCCCAGATGGAGAAGAGCAAAAGCAAGGACTTTGTGGGAAGGTGGTTCACTTGTGATAGGGATCTCCCAGTAGCTGTTTGTAGTGACAGTGATTGCTATTGTGGAGGCAGAAGGCAGCTCCTGAGCCATGGAGATGGAAGGAGAAAGGAGTTTGCTTGGGGCTAATGAGTTATAGAATCATAGAATTGTTTAGGTTGGAAAAGACCTTTAAGATCATCAAGGCCAACCGTTCCCCTAACCCTGCCATCCCACCACTAAACCCTGTCCCTAAGCACCTCATCTGCCCAGCTTTTAAATACCTCCAGGGATGGGACCCAACCTTGGTTCCTGCAATTATTTGTGCTCCCAGTCTCTCCGAGCTCCTGTGGAGCAAGCTTGAGTTAGCTGGGTTTGATGTTGGTGGTGGAGAGGAACATGAAGTCCTGTAAGATTCCCAATCCAGCCTGTGTTTCAGAAGTTTGGCACCTCTTGGAAGTTGAGAAGAGTTTGTGTTTCACTAAAGGGAATACTTGAGAGTTGGGCAAGCTTGTTGCAGGATGATTTTTGAGCTAGCTGGTTTTATGTAGCCCCCATCCTTCTCCTTTTGCTCTTCTGTTGCTTTTGTTTCTGGTTATGCTTCATTTTGATTACACAGTCTTCAAGTGCAGTGTGTCCTTGCTCGTGCTGTGGCATCAACTTGTCTCATTGTTTTACAGACTGAACTTCAGCAGCTTTTGAAAGTTTCTCAGGCTGTGATTTGAATAGCTGTAGCCTTGGTAGGGTTCACCTGCTATGGAAGTAGCAAACTGGACTACTTTTAGCCCCTAGTGTAAGTTTACTTTATTCGCAGCTATGTTCCAAGACTTGAGTGGTGGTAAGCTGATAATAAAACTCAACCCTTCTCGCTTCCTAGAGAATAATTTCAATTAAACGTATCAAAAGATGTCTTTTTCTATGTGATCCTGAATCTCTCTTCTCTCTTCCCAGAGGTCACACCGTGAAGGCTGTATGCGAGTCTTTTCACTTAGCCAAGGATGCCGGGTTTAAAGTGGTGGCACACATGATGCCTGATCTACCAAACATGGGGCTTGAAAGGGACATGGACCAGTTTGTTGTGAGTATGGCTCAAAATAAGTGGGAGTTTCTAGCATGTTCCAGCTTTTTCATCTAACGCTGCTTCTCTTTCTTAGCTCAGCTATTAGTTGCAATCCAGGCCAGAATTGTTTCTTAAGGACAAATAATTTAAAATTCATTTTTGAAGGTGGAGGGTAAGAAAGATTTGTTGAACTACTTCATCCAGAAAATTATATCCTTGCCTCATGAAAGACTGAGTCACTCGGGTCTCTCTGGAATATAGCGCTTCCGATATTAACTAGGGCTCTTACTTTTTCCCAAGGTGGTTTTCTTTCCTTGGATTTAGAATAGTACATGATTCAAAGTTAAAAGCATACTATCGCGAAGGTAATTAATTGCAAAGTAGAGTGTACAGGTGTATTATATAGCATCTCTGTTCTTGGCTCAGTGCTATTCAATATCTTTATCAATCATGTGGAAGAAAATACAAAATTATTTCTAGAGAAATGGAAAAGAGAAACAAGCAAATGGTAAACAGAGTAGGGAATTAACCACTTCATCTGGTAGTGTGGTAGATTTTTTTCTTTGTTTCTTTTTTTTTAAGTCGAAATTGGTTGTCTTTTTAAAATAGTGCAGAAATTGCAGTCACGATACAGGAATCACAGGTGTATTTCTGTGCAAGGTCAGACTTCCTGGCACTGAAAAGCTATCAGTGCGATGGGATGTATTGGTTAGAAGTACAGGCAGAAAGCAGCGGTTTATCTTGGTATGCTACAGCCAGGCACCTCTAAAAGAAGCAATCGAAAATGGAGCTGTACAGTGCATGAAGGAAATTTTGAAAACTGTGGTAGGTACTTTTTGTAAGGGGTTTTGTGCGGTGTTCCTTGAGCTCTTCATAAACATAATGTCGTAGTATTCTGCAAATGCTGTATTTGTGTGACAAAGTGGGAGGCTGGGACAAAGCCACATGCATAAAACTAGAGGTGAAGTCAGTGACGGAGCCCAAAGTTAACTCAGAATTCCTGCCCCAGACTCTCTTGCTCCTGGATGATGTCCTGTGCACCCTGCTCTGGGTGACCCTGCTTTAGCAGGAGGGTTGGACTGGGTGATCTCCTGAGGTCCCTTCCAACCCCTGCCATTCTGGGATTCTGTGATTCTGTGGATTATTTTCTTACAGTGCTGAAGGAGATAGAGGGTGGGCATCACATTAGCTGTGTTTTCATAGAATTACTTGTGATGCAGAGTATGGCAAAACCCGAGTCCCTTAATCAATATCTCATGATGGTGCAGCTGTAGTTCTGGGTTCTTTATGGGCCTGTCATTACTGAAGTAATATTAGGCTGGAGAGAATTTGTGGTGGAAGAATAGCAATACTGACTAAAAGATTTAAAGGGCTAACCTCGGGTAAGACCCAGCAAAGAGGAGACCGTAATCTGAGGTATTTGCAACATGTAAAACTGAAGAGGGAGGAATTATTTAAGGCAGAATTACAAGCTTCCATAGAAAGTATTTAGTGATTATTATTCTTTGCTGCTTATTCATGATAAATGGCTAAGGCTTTTCCGCTGTCAGATCTGGAGTTGCTCTTGTTTCACTGCAGGAGATTTAGGGAGTCTGTTTAAAAGGTATAATTACAAGTGATGCTAAACCACCTCCAGTTTCTGCAGGCCAGCGGGCTCCCTTGCTCGTTAGGGGAAGGGTAATGCCGTGCTGTATTTTGTCCATTTATTAATGGCAAATTTTTGCAGAAATAGAAGAGGCAGAAGGCAAAGCTTTCAGAAAGAGGAGACAAGAAAAGGCTGGAATTGTGAGAGGGGGGATTAAAAGAAAGCTGGGAAAATAGCTGAGCATAGAAAAGCAAGAGAAGGAGAAAAGAGAGCAGAGAAGGTCAACTTGTTAGACTGTTTCTGCCAGAGAAGTCTCTTGGCTTTAGGAGCTGGGAAGACCAGTGTTGATGGTGGGCCAGCTCTGGGATACGGCAGGAAGGAATTTGCACGTTGTGATGAGGAAGGATGAGAAAAGTGAGAGTAGATGAGAATGAGGCCCAAAGAGAATTAAGAAATTTTTTCAGTTTCGAAAAGGAGGGGTTAAGATAAGATCCGAATTTTTTGCTGAAGGGCTGGAATTGGCAAAAAGGCTGGTTGGAGGGCCAGAAAGGAGAAATGCTAAGCAGGGGGAAAAGAAGATACAAGAAAAAGAAAACCAGGTGATACTTTAGGCAGGGGTATTCAACAATACAGAGAGAGCGATGGGGTGAAGACCAGCTCAAGTGACAGCCCTGTTAATGAGTTCAGAAATTTGAAGCAGGACTCACAGATCAAATTAAGATTTGATGCCAGTGAACATACAGATGAGGAGTTGGAGGATGAGTAATCAGTGTGGAGGATGAAGCCCTCAAGAAGTAATGTGAATGCTGCAGAGTGAGGAAGAAAAATGGGAGTTGGAGAGGCGGGCTGGCGGGGAAGAGGTGATAGATCACATCAGCGTGGAGAAGAACTATACCTGTGTTGGTTTAAAGAGAAGGAAGTATGGGAAAGGAGAGAAGAAGGAATCAAAAATGCCCGTGTCAGAGAGGTGCACAGGGTCCCCACCGCGATCAGACCGCATATGAAGAAGGACCTGTGCGAAGGCGGCAGCCGCAGAGTTAATGCCCAGCTAAGTGATCACGGCGCGTTTCAGAAGATAGAGGTGCAGAGAATGAGAGTGGAGAGGCTGTGGATCACTGCGACATGTTTCGAGACGGAGTGGTAAACGAGAGGCAGCCATCCTCTTCCTTCTACCTTCTCCTCTGCCTTTCTCATCCTATCTTAAATGCTTTATGATTTATTTTTAAAAGATCATTTGTCTTAAATAGGAGAAAATAGAGGGTAAAAACAACTCTTGGTTTTTTTTCCAGAGCCTTGCACTGGTGAACATAATAGAAGTATTCAGCAGACAGTAATTCCATCTTTCCTGGGGATTCAGCTAGATCACACTTTCTCTATTTCCTACCTTAACATTTTATATCCTGGTTTTGAGTTATTAAACCAACTTATTTATATGTTGTGCTGTATAAATGTTAGGCCGTGCTGGTAAATATTTAGTCACTTCTACTACATAAAAATAATGTGAGAGCGAAGAGAGGAACCAAGTGGAGAGCATCTGTTGTGTTCTTGCAACAGCACTAAGCTGTTCATGAGCAGCGGTAGTGCTCTTTTATGCAGCATTCCCCTAATTCACAAACCCATATAATCTTCCTATAAGATACCTCTGTCTTTTTGGGACAAAGACACCTACGCCTTATCAAGGATCCTTACAGATTTGGCCTTTTGCAGTTGTTCTAAATAAGCTTGAAGAAAATAACTTTATTTGTTGTGACCTCCTTTCTAGTCACGCGCTTTTCGGACCGGGGAAAGGTAGGACAGAAAGGAGCCAAATGACTTTAGAAGGAGGTCTAAGCACCTTGCCTTCATTACCGGTTGATATATTAAACACAGGGGCTTCTCCTGGGAAGATAATAACTTGCTGGTTGTGCTGACTACGTACTAAAAATACTGGGTGCTTCTTCAAATTGAACAGGTAATTATGGCTTCAGGAGTAACGTTGCTTCTGTCCCTTATGACCTATTGATTTTAAAGTGTTTCCTGCTACTTCCATCCAGCAGCGAGCATGCCCATCGGTTGCTCTTTTGCAAGCACATCTAGGTTTTCAAAGTTGTGTGTCTGTAGAGCAACTGTTTTCCTGGAGAGTTTATTAATAATTATTCAAAACTTTAATTTACTGGTGAGAGTGAGTATATTAGATAGATCCTTCGTTATATGTATACATTCTTTTTTACAGAAAGTGCCAGGTGATGGCCTTTTTGCCTGCCTTCATCCTGAAGATGATTGCAGTTACTTATTTTAAACAGAGTGGATGTACTCATCCTGCGTCCCAGTTTTCTTGTGCTTCTCCACTCCTTCCCCCGTCACGCCTCTTTTCTTCCCTTACTGTTGATTCTTTTTATAGCCTCAGAGGATTTCCTTTCAACTTCAGGTCTTTTTCACCCCATTCCACGTATGGGAAAACGCTGCAGGGAGGGAGTATGCTCTGCTTCCTCCCACCACCCATGTCGTTGTGCCAGGAGTGTCAGGTAGTGTACATGTACACACACACGCGCGCACGCTGCTACTTATTGTTGGGAAATGCAAGCATAACAGATAGGACCGATTTGCAGTGCCTCACGTAGCAGGTGGTCGGAGAAAATAATTAGAATAATAGCTAGAATAAATCAAGGACTCAGCGGGAATAATGGAATTGTTACCAGAGCAGACACCTCATTCTGTGGAACGTGATAAACACTCAGCTTTGCTGTTGTAGCATGAGAGGGATGAGGTGACTCTAGGGGTAAATGGTTGGGAGGATTCATGAATCACATTTGCCAACAGGGCTACCAAGCAGAACTTAGGATTTAAGCAAAAACTTTAGGAGGCTAAAGAATTCCCAGGATGCTGTTACTAATTTCTCATTCTGTTGCTGCAGAGCCACTGAGTGGCAATAGTATAATCAACAAACTGTATCTGCTCTAGTATAAATATTACGAAGCTCATAACATTGATTAATGGAGAAGGTATTGCTATGTTTGCCTTTCATTTTATTTTTATAGTCTTTGCCTAAGCATGATTTACTGTTGCTGTTCCTCTTGGTCCTCCAGGAGGGATGGCTGTAAGCCCATCTCAAACAACTTTAAAGACCCTTCATAGGTGAAATAAATCCGGGGAGCAGAAGAAAGGAAAGGGAACAGGGAGGAGAGCCAGAAGATTAGAAGTTTCAAGTGTGGGAAGTGTCAGGGGAAGCATCATAGCAAGTTGCTGGGAGAACCCTCCCTCTCTGAAGGCACATGGGAGCTGGTGGATGCTGCCCAGAAACATCAGATGGGCCTAATGAGTTGCTGAGAAGCTCTTTTGCCTTGAAGATCCATGAGGAGGTCCTGTGGCCTCATTCTAAAGTCTCATATAAATAAAATGATGAGGGTAAAAGCATAGGCAGGACCATAGGTCAGTGCTGGAGACATGCATCAGG